TGAGCTCTGTGCATGTCACGCAGTGCCTCCTTCTGTTGGAGCGTCAATCTTCTTCCAGCCGATGGCATTTCTTCCGTCGCGGTACTGATCCCCCCCCTAATCGAAACGGGTCAAAGCAAATAAATTCTGAAACTCTATTTATCAAATCTCAAAGTCAGCTTGAATTTTCAAACATTCAAGGACGTTGGAACAACGTAATTTTTGACATTTGTCGAATATGAAGGCGCGCATGACTTTGAGTGAGAAGCATGAGCGGTATGTGCATCACATGCAACATCCATCCTCAACATACACCGAGCTAGCCAAATGGGCAAAAGAAGCCTTTATGCTTACAAGCACACCAACTAAATCAACGATCTGTAATGCTCTTAAACGGCACGCCACGCAAAGTAAGCGAGCGGACAACAAGGCGAGAAGCGCTGATCGTCCTGTGATGATGCCCTGGACCAAATTGACAACGTGATGTCAGGACGTCAAACAAATCTGTATGATGTACCTCTTGTAGAAGCCATGGGATTGGCCAAAGAGGCGTGGCAATCTGTGACGCAATCGACCGTTGTCAACTGCTGGAACCGCGTCGGCATATTGGACAATGACTTCTAGAACATGTCAGTAATGAATTTGGAGTAATTGGTTGTCGGCAGTTCCGGTAATAACTTTACCAGAGTACCTGTAATTATTTATAACCTGTAGAAATCGCATGGAATGCTCGGTTTCGTTTAGGGGGGGAGATCAGTACAAGTTTGAATTTCAATTCTTACTGCTCGAAATGAATTTATTCGTTCTCGGAGGATATTGAATGTGTCCTGTTGAAATAATGGGAGGCATTACTGTATATCGATGCGTTATGTCTTCCATCCCCAAGCTCACTCCACTTTGGTTGGACGGAGTGTGTACGTGATAAATTGATCGTTAAGTCACTTCGTTGTCAATGATTAGTTGGTGTATATGTTGTTAAGCCATCCATGATCAAGTGGTGAGATGATTGGTCATTCATGTGTTTTTACGCTTGACTTGGTTTTATTATTTGATAAAATCATTAGAAATTGTGCCTCGTTCAATACGAAAGTGAATGGTGAAAAATTCCGTTACTAGGGGTGCAATGGACACGACCAGCGTAGTAATGCAAGAGACATCTATGGTGTCGCCCCACACGGCGGCCGAGCCCAAATTGGTTCTTGCGTGAACGATGGCGAGTGACCCAACAAGTGAAGTGGGGATGACGATGGACCAAGCCAAGAAGGTCGAGGATGTTGCGGAGAATAATGTGCAGGCATCGTTGCTCGATGAGGTGAACAAAAGCTTTGCAGAAGAAGGCGTTCTAAGCGAATGAAATATGGTAGCGCACCAGCCGCGACTCGACAGTTGAAGCGGCGGTGGACGTCGTCGCCGACACGTACAAGCACCTCATGGAAAGTGAAGAATATCGTGAAATCTTCAAAGCTACTTGTGAGGCTCAAGGCCAAGACGTGGATGTTTCACTCAACCTCCTGGTGCGTGTCTGTTGGGACTGCTTCCTACTCATCCTTCAGCAGGACGATATGATGCCTGAAGTGATTGCAATGTCCAAGGCGCTCATGCAGTCCGCCTTGGAAGACGAGAGACTTTCCAAGCCAGAAGGCACCACCGCCACTCGACTCGACATTGTACGACGATGCGAATCGACTTATTGTCGCCAATCTATCCGGTAGCGAAACTGGACGCCTCTGCTCTATGCCACATACGGTGGCAAGCTCGACGAAGTCAAGGCAGTTGTGGCCAATCTAGGGGATGCCGTCATCCAAACCGCAGTCGAAGTTCGCCCCGTGCATCGAGATCCATCGTACTCACGCTGTTGTCTGCAGAGCAATGGATTAACACCGCTGCATCTCGCATCTATGTACGGCTACATGGACATTGTGCGCTTCTTCGTGCAACATGGGGCCTCCCACGACGCGGTCACGGTGGTAGGGCGATGTTTGTCTCCCAACATCATCATCGTCTTGTAAGGATGGCGCGACGCCGTTGTTCCTGAGCTCCATGAACGGGCATTTGGACGTGATACAATATTTGGTAGCTCTCGGCGCGGTTGACGGCATCAACCGACCGATCAACGTACGCGTTGAAAACGTATTTTCTGTCATTCATTTGCAATGTAGGACGGATGCACAGCGCTCATTGTGGCGGCGAACAGAGGCTATGATGCCATCGTCACATTCCTTGTCGAGAATGGAGCGAGTTCCCTCGCCACCACCAATGTACAAACCCTCGTCATGCCGCCGTCATGTGCGACGCTTGTAGGATGGGCAAACAGCGCTGCACGCGGCATCTGTGAATGGACATATCGGCGTGGTGAAGTATCTGCTCGGCATCCACACGTACACCTCGTATGCGTCGACGGGGGTAAGTTCGCATGGTGCAATACCACGTCATTCGCTTCCAGTGTGCAGTCTCGCCGTTCTACCTGGCCGCCCAAAATGGACACCTCGAAGTTGTTGAGCTCCTTGTCCAAGTGCACCATGCCCCACTCACCACGGTAACACATCACAGATTCGACTGCTTCCCGAATCAATCTCTTTCAGGGCGGGACCTTGACGGAACTCGCCGTGGCTGCAATGCACGGCCATGTGGAGACTGTTCGATTCTTGATTCAAGCTGGCGCCTCCGTCGAGGCCGCGCTGCAAAGTTCGGACGAATATGTGCGTCGGTTCTGTTGTCGTCGTCACGAATGGCTGACTCATCACAGGACGGTTCGACACCGCTCTTCTTGGCCATCCATGGCGGGTCTGCCACATGCACCAACGCCAGGTCCTTGGAAGTGGCGGAGTTGCTGCTCACTCTTGGAGGCGCCAACCTCGAAGCAAAGCAGACGGTACAAGGTCCACCACTGCAGGAGAGTCGTTTTGACTGGATGCCAGAATGGTGACACGGTGCTGCACTTTGCGGTGCGATCGGAGCGGTTGGATGCAGTGAGGCTCTTGCTTGGAAAAGGAGCAAATGCCAACTCGCCAGACGCCGTACGCTTGTACCTCTGTGATACATCTCCATAGCGGTAACTTTTTGTGCGAAGACGGGGACCGAGCCGCTTTTCACGGCGGCCCAAGCTGGCAAGTGGACCATAGTGAACGCTCTGTTGGCCCATGGAGCGAACGTCGATGCTGCCACGGTACGCAGCGGACAGTGTAGGAAAGAGCTAACGACAACGATGTAGGCGGATGGCACAACCGCGTTGATGGTGGCGGCCGAAAAAGGCGATATTCTAACAGTCAAGGCGCTCTTGGCCAAAGACGCATCGGCTGCGCTGAAAAACAAGGTCGCATGCAGTGGTGCAGCTGGCGTTCACCACGTGTGTTGTAGGCTGGCCGGACGGCGCGGGACGTGGCGGTTGCCAACAACCACAACGACGTCGTGACTGCGATTGACGACAACTATGTGTTGGTGAGCTGCTTGACTGGGACTGTATCGATGCAATGCACGCGGTGCACAGGGGCCAAAGCTGTACCAAGCTGTGTTTCGCAATGACATTGATGCCGTGCGTTCTCTTCTCGACCGCGGGGCGGATCCCATGTACAAGACTGTGGTGCGCGACTTGAACGTTCACCAAGGAATCAAAAACTGATCGTTCGTAGGCTGGCAAGACACCCATCGACTGCGGACGAAGCAACCCAGACATGCTGGCGCTCTTGGAACAATACATCGAGACGAACAAGACCGTCGAGGCGGTGCGCGACTCACGAGGAATTCCATCGGTCATCGTGGCAATGTAGGCCAAACCACGTCGTGCAAAGGGCGACGGCAAGGTACTGTGCCGTGCTGCAAGGGTGAGGCGTCACATGGTGGGAAGTGCCAAATTTCGTAGGCGTGCGTGGAAGGTGCCAGATAGCGGATGTCGCATGGTGGCATCTTTATGCCAGTGCAGTCGAACCGCGTGATGGCACTGGGCACGACACTTTGTGTAGTCCACTCGAATCTACTCAAATAGTTGTGCATCCATCTCTAACGAGTAACCAAAGTCGATTTCTGTCGTCTGCCGAAGCAGGTACGGGCCACTAACTTCGACACTTGCGAGCGATCCACACATGCCATTAAGTTACGAGCATACTGCAACGCAGACTGCAGCTGAAAATGGGCTGCCCGCGGGGGCCGTGATGTTCTGTCCCCCAGGGCACGTGATCACGAGTGTGCCGTTGTCGAATTGCTTGCCAAGGCACTCCCCTTGTACGGGCGGGTCGCAGCTCCACCATGGAGCAGGCACGCAATCCAAGTACTTGCACCACGAGCACGCTTTGCTCGCATTCGACTGAAGAAATCAGTCAGATCACACCATGGATCAAGGCAACGGACCTCAGTCGACAGCAAGACGATGAAAAGTAGTGCAAAACCAACGGTGAAAGAGCCGCCGATCTTGCCCAAAACCCGCTGCTTCGGTGTCCGAGTGTTCAACAAGCGATGGTGGCGGGTGGTGGGCAGGCTCAGCATGGCGAATCCCATGCCCAACCCACTCTACGCAGTGCAGTGACCATCGTGATCCTCACAACGCCGACGTACGAGGAACCCTGAAAGGTGGGCAAAGTTGTTGACAAATGGCAACAGACCAATCCCGAGGTTGATCATTCCCACGACGATCAACTTGACCTGTGTACGAATGAGACCAGGGAGGCGTTCATGGACGAACCATGTGCCAGAACCGATTCGTGTACAGGTCCCAGTTCAACAAGAATTCGGCAAACGTTGCGCCAAAGAGGCCAAAGATCGCCCCTGACGCCCCGACACCCACCTAATCGAACGTGAGTCGATGGAAGGAAGCTGTGGCGTACCATGTCAGGGGCAAACACCGCCGAGCAAGTCGCCCCAACGAGGCCCGACACAAAGTAAATGGCGATCACACGGCGCCGGTCAAACGTGGTCTCGAGCTCAACGCCGAGCTGGTACAACGCGAGCATGTTGAACAAAAGATGGAGCCTAGAGATCGAGTGAGTGGAGTCGTCGGTTGTCCTACACGTCACGCACAGCCCGCCGTGGAGAAACATGGCAGTGAACAAGCGCCACCAGTCGCCGGCAAAGATCAAATTGGAGCGTTGGGCGCCCATTTTCAGTAGAACTTCTCCATTCGGCCCCAGCAGAGGATTCACCTTCATGTCCTCGAAAGCCCACCCGTTCTCGCCACTACCATATACATCGTCGTATTCGGACATCACCCATGAAAATGGCTTCGTACATTTCAGCGACGAAGATGATCGCGTTGATGGCGATCATGGACAGGACGAACTTGAACTGGGGCAGCACTTTCGCCCTGGTCTTGGGCGGGGAGGAGTGCCTCGGGACCATGATGGGCGCCGTTGGAGGGACAGCACTGGCATTGTACACGCCAGCCTCAGCATCGTGTCCATTCGGCTCATCTTCTTCGCGAGGAGTCTCATTCGGTTCGTAATGGCCCGTCGGTTGCTCGTCACAATTGCTTGGTCGGGTCATGCGGCTGCTTGCGCGGCGTTTCCCACCCTGAGCAGTTTCGAGTGCCTCGCTCGCCGTTTTCGATCAACGATGGATTAAATTTTCAACAATTTAGACACCGCTGTCACCATCGCACAAGGCGCTGCTTCGATGTGATCTCGAGCTATCGCCTCCCGCACATCTGCAGCAGACTTTACGTTTGCATTGTGTGCACTGGATGGGGACGTGTCGGGGTTGGCGACACAAAGTGACCCCTCCGTTTTCATATGTCCGTGAAGGGATATCACAGTTCAAACACATCAGCTTGCTGCTCCAGCGCCAAGTTGCGCAGGTACAAATTCTCGTCGTAAAACTGCATGATGGCCCGCATTTCGTCCTGTTGCATGCGATGTCATGAACGAGTGGACGAACGATGCCGACGAACCTGGTTGGAGAGGCCAATGGGGAAGTAATCAAAGCACTTTGTCTTGACGAGTGGCATGGCGGTGGCTGTGGCTTGGAACACGTCAGTGAGAATGAGTGGATCACATGTGCTATGGAGCATCAGACCCGGCGTCGCACTCGTTAATGCGCAAGTGGGGCGCAATAGCGCACCAGACACACTCACGACACCTAGTGCAACAGCAGTTAGAAACTCCAAACGTTGAACCTGAAGACAATACCTCCGAGGCGTTGGCGGCATGCAGCTGCTACATGCAATGCGACCGTGCCGCCATGGCCAAACCCCATCAGGAAGATCCGATGGAGTGGCCAATTGTACACTATCTGTAGCATTGAAAGGACGTCCATCCACACAGCAACGACTTGATCTAGGCTGCAAGGAACATGAAGTTGGAAGGCGTCTTCATGAATGGGAGGGACATGCACCTGTGAAGTCGCTTTGGGTCATAAACGTGGTGAGGAAGGACTTCGCCCTTTCTATCGAGGGATGGATCGAGCCACGCGTATCCGAGCTCAAATGGAAGGGCATGGGGTGCGCGAAATGATGCGAATGCTGCATGATATTCTGAGTGGAACACGACGCTAATGACAACATACCAGTCTGGGGCAACTGCATGGCTTGGCCAAGGGTAAATAAGCTCTCGTGGGTGTCTCCAAGCCCATGCAGGAAGAGGATTAAGTTCTCGTTGCACGTTAAGCTGCCTTGGACTTGAAAGCATTGCAGCATGGAGGGAAACCGCGACGGAGTCCACACAATAGATGCAGACAAAACATTGATTTCATGGAGAAAGGCCCATCTAGTTGTCGAGGTGGCATGCACTTGAAGGAGGGCGGCGCCAGAGGCCGGAACGACCTTCAGAACCTTGCCTCGGACTCCGAGCGTGACCACTTCATCGCCTACAGCCAGACAGCGCGCCATGTTCCAACTTGTATATCATTTTATAGAGGTCCTATATTCGATATTGAAGAAATATGCTCTCTTTTCGGCTGGTCCACACACAAAAATTCAGAAAAATCCTTCAAATTCAACTCCCTCGGCTTCAAGAGATGCCTCAGCGATGAGCGCCGCCGAACCGCCACGATGATGGAGATACTCACTGTCGAGGACATCCCGAATGAAGTGAGGATTCGCGGGGCGGAGATGTCGACACGGTGGAAACCCCCGTGAATGAAACGGAATTTGGCCTTGAAACGACCCATGGGCACTTGCGCATTGCCTCCGTCCAACCGCAAGCGATGGAGTTCCGCGTGCGCTGTTCGTCCATCCAGGAGCATAAGATCCACCACCCGCCACACCACCCTGACTCTTACTCGCCCCTAGTGTGCTATTCGTACACGCTCAACACGATCCTCGGTGTGGGCTGTCTCACCATTCCTTATGCCGTCTACCACGCGGGCCTTGTCCTTGGTCTCAGCACTGTCGTTGTCATGTCGTTCCTCTCGTACTTGACTGTGCTATGGACTTGTGAGACGCTCGAACGACATCGCCGCCGCCTCCAACTCGTCCCTCAAGACAATTCAGATGACGTCGAAGTTGTAACACTGTGCCGCGTCTACCTCGGCTCCACTGGCGCTCATCTGTACCAAGTCGCCCTGTACAGCTATGGCTACGCTGTTCTCGTCGCGTTTGCCCAGGTGTTCATCGCCGCCACCTCCACGCAGTTTCCTGGCCTGACCACGACCGGCGCAGTTCTTCTTTACAGCGCAGTGGTGATCCCCTTGTCCTGCGTCGATCTCACTGAACAGATTGTCGTCCAACTTTTCTTGACATCGATTCGATTCGTCGCCTTCACCCTCATGGGCGGCAGCCTCCTTTTGACCCGATCGATCCACTCGGGGCACTCTGACCCTCTCCCGCTCGTCGACTTCGATGGCTTGGGTCTCCTTGTCAGCACAGTTGTCTTTACTCAGTTCTGTCACATGTGTGTTCCTTCGCTCATTGCCCCGCTGAAGAAAGAAGCAACTGCGGCTGCCCCTGCCATTTTCGCCGCTGCTATGACCACGACCACCTGCATTTACGTCCTGCTCGCCGTTCTCTGCTCCATCTCGTTTGGATCTCACACATTGTCGAGTGTCAACCTCAACTGGAGCTCTTTTCCGTCGATGCCGGTGGCAGTTCGTACGTTCCTCGTCTTGTTTCCAGCAATCGACACCATCAGTTCGTTCCCGCTCATCGCGATCAATGTCGGCAATTCCATTGAGGATTCGACGTCGCTGCCCAAGGTCATCAGCCGACTTGCCTCTGCTGTCCCGCCCATTCTACTCGGGTATGCGGTCAACGACGTGAGCACAGTGGTGCATGTCTCTGGTGTGTTTGGCGTGTACCTCGTCCTGATCGGTCCCGCGCTCTTGTAGTGGACGTCTCAAGCATCTGACACTGAGCCAACTCGATATGCTAGCATTCTTAGCCACATTGGATGGGTCTTTGCGGTGCTCGTCGCTGGGGCTGCTGCCGTCGTCATCTTGGCGGTGCAGATTTTCAAGTAACAAGAGAGAATTCAACTCTCTCAGCCAATCATACACGATGATTCAACAATTTATATCCAATCAGAATTTTTCCATTCACAGCAACTCAATCATTTGATTGGACAGGTCCGAGATTCGTTGATAATTTCCACCAATGAAGCCCCAGGAAAATACCTTCGACCAATCCAACACAAAAATTACAGCAACTTGTGTTTCATTTTCGATATCTAAAGAGGCAACTCGAAGCTCACGTTGACGTGGACTTCTTCGGCTTGGGTGACAATGTCGGCAATCTTGACGGCCTTTTGAGCAGCGTCATCCAAGTCGTTGGCGACGATCATGCGGAAGCCCGAGTTCTCGATGAGGGCGCGGGCCTTTTCCACGTTCGTCCCTTGCAATCGGATCACAATTGGCTTCTTCATGCCGAGATCCTTGGCGGCGGCAATGATACCAGCAGCAATCACGTCGCAGCGCATGATACCGCCAAAGATGTTGACCAAGATCGACTTGACTTGGTTGTCGGCGTTCAGGATTTCAAACGCCTTCTTCACCTGCGCTTCAGTGGCACCACCGCCTACATCCAAAAAGTTGGCAGGGGAACCGCCAAACAACTGGATGATATCCATGGTGGCCATGGCAAGACCGGCGCCGTTCACGAGGCACCCGATGTTGCCGTCCAAACCGATGTAGTTGAGGTCGTATGCGCTGGCTTCAACTTCACGGGCATCCTCTTGGGTCTTGTCGCGTTGGGCAAAGATCTCGGCTTGCCGGAATGCGGCGTTGTCGTCGAAGTTGATCTTGGCGTCGCAAGCAAACACTTGGCCTTCAGGGGTTTCGGCCAAGGGGTTAATTTCAACCTGGGTCGCATCAACACCAATGAACATCTTGTACAAGTTGCCCAAGAGTTCCACGCCACGGGGAAGGGCAGGACCGTCCAAGCCCATGTTCTTCGCCAAGCGGGTTAACTGTTCGTTGGTGGGACCGGTCATGATGTCGACGTGCTCCTTGAAGATAAGCTCGGGCGTGTTGTGCGCAACATCTTCAATAGAGGTACCACCGGCAGGTGAACCGACCAACACCGGACCTTGCGACGCACGGTCCATCAAAATGCTAAAATACATTTCGCGGCGCAAGTAAACGCGTTCCATAAGGAACACTTTAGCCACTTCAATCCCTTTTACACCCGTTTGCTTGGTGACAAGGGTTTCGCCAATCATCTTTTGGGCGAACTTCTTAGCATCTTCGGCCTTGGTGCACATGTGGACACCACCCTTGAAGCCGTTCTTGAAATGACCGAGACCGCGACCACCAGTCAACGCTTGCGCTTTGATCACGACGTCCTTCGTGTCATTGCCGCCCTTGAGCTTGTTGTACACTTGGACAGCTTGCTCGGGTGTGTCGGCAGCTTCGGAGGCAGGGATCGCGACGCCGTACGATTGCATGATCTTCATGGATTGGTACTCATGCAAGTTCAGACGGCGGACTTGCTGGCCCGTCGGGCGGAGCAGCGGAGTGGCCTTGATGATCGAGCGGAACATGCTGAGTTGGGGGAATGAATCGCGGAATGAATTGACGTGAGGCGCTCAACACTGGACACGAATACCGCCAATCAAAACCAGGATTTGGATCCTAATCGGGAAATTTGACGGCCTAACGTCGACCTAATTGGGCATTCACCCACCCCTACTTCTTGTATCAGCCAATCATAGGCCATTAACACAGCGCGTTTAAACGAACTTACGTTTAAACGAGTTGCGTGATTAACGGCTCCATCGACCGCAAATAATGCGGCTGGAATATCTAGAGTTTATCATAAGTATGCACCGTGTATGAGCAAAGATGTGCACAAATTAAAGCCTCCGTGCGCGACAATTTGTCCCCAGCGTCGCGCCCTGCATTCGTGACCTGAGCTCCAAATTTTAAAACCCGTTTAAACGAGGTTTACAATCGTAGTTCATTGGTTGAAACGCTAACCACAACCACGAACTCTACTTAGCGTCGGGGTTTCGGGGTTACTTAAATAACAAACGTCGATCAAGTATGAGCCATGCATTGTTATTGTTACGCCAAGAGCTGCAGAGGGCACTACCGAGGAAAACAAAGTCGAATCGGCAGCAAAGCAAGTGCCACAGGTGTTCATTTACTTGGCCTCGCGGCCACGCTCTTCGCCCACCTTTCCGACTATCCATTCCATGCCTTCTTGCAAGCCTTCGCCAGTTTTGGCCGAGCATGCCTGGATTTGGTATGGTCGGTTGCGGATTGAGCTCAGGTTCAACGCCGTCGAAATCTAGTGAACCCGTCATCTTCTTATACCATTGGGTAGCGATATAATGCATACCTCGGACGCAGGCAACGCATTGAGCAAATCTTGTTTGTTAGCAAAGACAAGCAAGCAAGCCGAGCTGAGCTTCTCTTCTTCGAGTAGCGCGTTCAGCTCGACACCGGTTTCTTCCAAGCGGCGGCGATCCGCACTGTCGATCACATAAATGAGGGCGTCCGTTTGCTCGTAGTAGTTTCGCCAGTACGGGCGAATCGTCTTTTGACCTATTCAAAAAAATATGACTTGATGTTTCAAGACAGGTCGACGCAGTACCGCCAATATCCCACATATTGAGCTTGAACCCATCCACCTGCAGACTCTTGACGTTGAAACCTTGCGTTGGCATGATGTGACTGATGTCCTCTTCCGACAACTTCTTCAGGATCGTGGTTTTGCCGCCGTTGTCGAGGCCGAGCACCAAGATTCGGGCTTCCGAGTCATCCTTCTTGAGCTTGCGGAGGAGCGTGAGCAGACCCATGTGATCAAACCAACTAAAGTTGAACTATGTGCGGTGTCAACTGGCCGGCGGTTGGGCCAGCGTGAAACGTTTGTTCATACAAACATCGACTTAACGAAATCGACTCGGCAACCGTCGCGACGCTTCGGAGGTAACCGGTTAAAGATCGATTTTATCCGGAAATCGAACTGGTGGTGCAAAACTCGAACATCAAGAATGCGAGGGAACAACAACGTGGGCAAGGCCGCGATGGCGGTGATCTTTGGCCTTGGCGGAGCTTACGGGGGCTTCCTCGTTCAGCATCGGTACTTGGAAGAGCAGAAGGTCTCCAAGCGAGTCGAGGAGGAGGCCCAGCGCCGATTCCAACAATACAAGTCCAATATGCCTTCCTCCACATGCGACGTCAATTAGATAACAGTGTTTCCTAGTGTATTGGGTTCTATCTGGTGCGTTGCTTCTTGGTTGGCTTGTGGCCGCCGCCCTTCTTTGGGTGGCCTTTTGCCTTGTTCTTTTGGTGTTTGCCGCCATCTTCATTGTCCGAGTCCAGGTGATCATGGGCTGCGTTCCACACGTCTTGGTCCTCATTCGCAACCTCATCGTCCTTGTCGAAGTCCTTCATCTTGGCGCCCATCATGTAGTCATCCTGGACCACGGACCAGCTCGACTTGTCCGCGGTATCATCGCTGCAGTCGTCTTGCGGCGCTGGAGTTTCCATCTTCTTGCCTTGTTGCTTCAGCAGCCCAAGGAAAGAGTCTTTGCTCAGAGATTTGATCTGCTTGGACCTAAACATCATATCCGTTTGATTTGGACTACCAATATAGTGACACAATCCATACCCGTCTTGTTGCTGCTGGCCGTGCTGGTGCTTGGCGATGGCATTGAAGAGCGCGACAACCCCCTTGGTCGCAATCCCACGGAGTGCCTTGTCCTGGACCATGGTCAAATGGCTCGGGATCACCATGTCCTTCTCCTCCCGCGCGCGCTTTTCCTTTGCGCTCATCTTGGACTCCTTTGTCGTCGACTTATCCTTGGAAATCTCGCGCATTTGCGAGGTCACGCGCTTCGCCAAAATCGGCGCCTTCTCTTGCTCAACGTTCTGGTTCAAGACCTTGCTCATGGCATCCGCAAACCCGACAGCGCCTTCCTCAGCGTCATCATCTTCGCCAAAGTTGTCATCACCTGGAAGCTCATCGTCGTCGTCGCCATCGTTGTTATCGCCATCTCCACCATCCTCTTCATCGTCATCACTACTGTTAACTTCTCCATCGTCGTCATCGTCATCGTCGTCATCGTCATCGTCATCGCCGTCATCCTCGACCTCTTGCTCATTTTCTTCGTTGGACTCTCCATTTGACTGTTCAATATCGACGGGGACCGACTTCTTCGGCAGCTCCAAGACTGCGGAGGTCTTACCTCCGCCATGCTTGGCCTTGAGCGTCACCTTCATCTTGTCCGATAACAGCTTCAACCATTGGTTGCCTCCACTTGAGCATATCCGGGAATTGTGATTTATCCGGATATGTCTCGCCACCACCGATGTATTCCGCATTTCGATTTCAAGCAGCGGTGTCCCAGTGAAGACAGCGCATGAGATCACATCGTTCCACGACGTCCTGACGTCGCTGCATGTGGGAGCTTGTCCAAGACATGCCATGTCCGATCAATCTTCTCTCTGAGGGATACGGAAAAACGCAGCAAACGAGAGACAGTAGTGCGTAGACTTGATGTGGCGTGTGGGCATTTTATCGAGACCTCCCCAACTTCATGGGAGTGCTGCTGTCCCTTTGGTTTTCAATGCGGACGGTATATTCTCTCCCCCATGCGCCATAGATGAAAAACCCAGCGTCATAGTACGCGAGAGCTCGGCGCTCGTCGCCAAAGTACCGTTCTCGTGTCTCCATCAGCTTTGACATTTCAAAATTGAGTACGCATCGTTCAAGGTCGAGATCGACCGACTAAGTTGTAGAAGTAGCAGCGAGAAGTGAGGATTGGCGGATGACTGACTTTTGAGCCAACACGTGTTGGCGAAGGGCAGTGTGCTTGGCTTGGACAGCGTCAAAATGCGCAAGGAGAGCCGGCACAGAGACACTGACACTGATCGAGCTAATTGGCACGCCTCCCACATTCGGCGCTTCCTTGCGCTGGGAAGCTACAGGCGAAGCCGCCGGGGACGGGTGTTGTTGCTGGGGTTTGGAGATGGCCATTGCCATGGAGGTCACGCTAGCCAAACGGTCGCGCAGGGTTCGAAACGCAGAGCTCTATTGTACTCGTTGAAGTAAGAGAACGGGTCATGATATGACAGTACCTGGGGAAGGAGCATGAGAAGGCCGTACATGCTCTTCATGAGATTGAGATGGTATGGCGCGTGTGTCTCGAGCAGCTGCAAACGTAGCTGGATGAAGATGGGTGACTCGAGGAGTTGGACGAGCTTGTCGATTTGCATGAGGAATCCGACGGAAGCATCGATCTCACTGGTAAGAACAGGTTAAGGAGACCTTTACGAACGAAGGGGAGGAGTGTGGCGCGTGAAAAAGGATATAATTTCAGGACCAATGCGCTCGAGAGCTCGTACGACTGGGCCAGCAAACAGAGGCTAAACGTGGACACGGGGTTGTGGCACCACGTCTTGTACAGCGTCTACGAGAGTTGATCCAGCTAACTATTCCTCCTGACTGCATACCGTAAACACTTCGACGTCTTCCTTGGACGCTTTTGAGTCGAAGCATCGCCGAAGCACCGCTCGCAAGTGTTCCTGTCCATCCGATCGGAACGATCAGATGGGTGAAAAACGATGCACGCACCAGTTCGTTGGCGGTGAGCAGGATCAGGTTGAGTGTGTGCACCATCAGCGAAACGTAATCCAGGTCTTCATGCGAGCTCAGGACAGTTGCAAACACCATGTAGATGCTCTTGGCGTCCAACAGCGCGCACAGTTTGCGCACAATGAGGGACCCTCGCTTCTCCTGCAGCCAGCGATTCAGAGCTGACTCTCGATTACATAGAACCCACCAAGAGCCGCGCGTCCGTCGCGAAAAGTTGAATGACAGCCTGAAGTACTTTGGAAAACTCAAGTTGGGACAGGTTCGTGCTGAGTCGGGCAAGAACTTCCAAGTTGAGTGACACGACTTGGTCCGACGTGTCGCTGCGTAAGGTCAGCATTGTTTCTTGACACCTACTGTGTACCTGAGAGTCTTGAGCAAGGTGGGCAGGAGCGCGCTCAGTTGGGAGCTCAATTGCGTCGGTTTTTTCTCGAGCAACATGGAAATCCATGTCAAAGACGCCAGTCGCGTCGGGATGTACGTGCTCACGAGCTCGACGTTGAGCTTGGCAATAAGGGGCAGAAAGTCGACATCTCCCCTGTCAAGATTTCGTCAATGAGGATCCTTCTCGACAAGAGCCATACGTTGTAGCTTTGACCAAGGCAAGCAAATCCGCGTTCGCCCGTTCTCCGACCAACCGAATTTCCCCCTCGGCGTCCGAAATGCACGTCAGAATCGCCCCGAGCAACTCGGCGTAGAACCGCACGAGACGTTCCTTCCCCAACACAACAAAGTCCAGCACCTAGACCCGATGAAATCATGTACATCTCAATGACACATGTACCCAGGTGGCTGCCGTCAACCGCGTGAACCGCTCCTTGGACTGGCACTGCGCCACGAGGATGTGCACCATCGGCCCCAAGTCGACGAATGGCGTGGATTTGATCTCGCGAAGGAATTCACTCAATGCGCTGTCAGCAGCCTGCAACACACGATTATGCCGGTTAGAATGAACAGGGCAGTCATGGACCTGTCGGATTTCCCGATTGCCGTCGCTGAGCATGTTGAAAAGACCGTCCAGGAAGTCGGGAAGGTAGTCAAGCATTTCAATGTCTGGCACTGAGTCCAGTACAGTGATCCACCCGACAATGAGCTGACGAATGTAAGGATTCGTCTTGCGGATGTTGTTCTGGAGCAAGGGAATGAACATGTCGACGTCGAACACCTCGCTCTCGGTCACAATGTCCTTCACCAATCGATCCAACAAGTGAGCGCCATTCTTCACATCCGTGTCCACGTCAGCAAATAGCTTACATAGACTAATGTACGTGGGAAAGTCAAGAGATGGAGAACAACGAACAGACGTACCCATCAAAGATCTGGTTGAAGTACTTGAGAATAGCGCCACGTGCGACTTTGACGATGTTGTACAAGCTCTCGCATGCATAGTACCTGTGAATAACTCCATTGCGCACGCGAACGACGACGGGTCAGGTCTTACCGGACTCGCGCTTCGGAGTCATCAAAGCAGTGCAAGACAGGGGGGATGAGAGCATCGAGGTACAATTCAGCGTTGTGCATGAGTCCAATTGCTGTTCCGGCGAGCCCAATAAGTCCCCCTTTACGGAAGTTGGCATTGACGGATCGGGTGAACTTTTTTTCGAGCAAATCGATCACAATGGGGATTGCGTCTTTGTCGGCTGGGTTCTTGCTTTCCGCGAGCTGTTTGACGAGGTTCTCAAGCTCGAGCGCAGCGCCTTTTCGCTTTTCATACTGCCTGTCTCCGAGTCGTTGCTGCAGGTTCTGCGAGAGCGGCACGATGAACTCTCTCTCGGATGCGGACACGGCACTCGATTCCGCCATTTCGAAATCACGTCTTGCAGGTCCGGATACAGTACCCCACGTATCATCCGGATATCGATCGCCTTGAATTAGTGTAAGTAGGGTTCTGATTGGCTGAAATGATTGGATTTAATTGGTTGGTTTACCCTGGCCATTAAGTGGAGGCAGTGGCTAGCCATGTATTTGCCAATTACGAGGTTAACATGGTCAAGCAAAAGCATCATACCGCCCGCAACCAAACTTTCAAGGCCCACAAGAACGGGATCCGCAAGCCCAAAAACCACCGCTACAAGTCGACCAAGGGCGTACGTGCTCCTGCGTCCTCCGTCGTTCATGACTGATCGTCGTCGCTCTAGTTGGACCCCAAGTTCTTGCGCAACCAACGCTTCGCCAAGAAGTACAACAAGAAGAACCCTGTTGCTGCCAAGGTATGTTGCAGGAGGCATTATGTGCAAGACTCATGGCGCGTGTAGGCGGAGTAAAGAAGTCGCGTTCTGTGCTACTGCTACTCAGCCCCCGACGCACCACTTCCTTCGTTGTAGGACCAGTTTAGTCGCGATGCAGGATGGTATGGAGAGTGTTGTAATGACAACGGAATATGCTTGACCTCTTACGCCCGATTCGTTTCTCGTGGGTTTCCATCTCGTGTAGGAACCGTGAGGCGGCGATCGACCGAGCGGCGACAGGAGCGAGTGGGGAAAGTGACGATGAAGCAAATCAACCTTATCTACATTTTCTGAGATGCATTGAAGAGATTGTACTTCCGATTCCCCACTCCCGTCCGTCTCGATCCCTGCAGCCGCCTCCGCTTCGAACGACCATCCGATACTTCCCCTCGCACAGTTGTAGCAACTAACGTTTACGACGTTAATATCGACTGGTTTTCGCCGTCTCATTGCCTCCGTCTTCTGGGCTGTGCAGTGGCTCCCGCTCACTGCAACGTGAACCCTTTCGTGGCATCAGTCCGGCCCCGAAACTCCCAAAACGCAAGGATAAGAAGGGTGGGAGAGGGAATGCGTCGAATGATCCTGGCGCTCCAGATGCTGACGCCCCCGTTGAAGAACGAGCAAGGCGAATGTCCATGTGGCCGGCGGTGCCGTCCTTGATTGGGTCGGCCGTGGACAACCCACTCTTCGACGAAAGATGCCTCGATTGTCGAAGCCATCAAGATGTGCGAAAATTTCGATCCATTCGCAATATGAACGACAAACAAACTAGCAGTCGCCGAGCGTTGTGCCACCACGACGGGTGCGTCAAGTTTGCCCAGACGCGCGGCCTTTGCAAAGGTAAACGCAAGCCGGAACTTCGTGTTGACGCGCCAAGTAGCGCACGGAGGCGGCACTCGATGCAAAGTGGCGTCCTGTTCCAAGCTCGCTCAAAGCAAAGGCCATTGCATTGCTCATGGGGGTGGGCGAAAATGCCAAGTCGACGACTGCGAGAAGCTTGCCCAGAGCAAGGGGTACTGCATTGCCCATGGTGGTGGCCGAAAATGCGGTACGCACGGCGGCGCGTTCTATGGTGCATCGCTTGACAGTCGGGCACTTGGTAGCTGTCGACGGATGTGAAAAGTTTGCTCAAATCAAAGGCAAGTGCAAAGCCCACGCCAAGACTACGACCGACTCGTCCGCGCCGCCGCTCACTCACGCCAAAGTGCTGGCTCTGTCGTCCGCCTCCATTAGCCTCAGTCCTCTGCGGGAATATGTGCAAAGGGCAGAGCCCACCACGTGCAGCTTTGCGGCGCTGTTTACCCCACTGAAACCACCGACAAACAATGCGTAGGTGGATAACTTATAAGCTTTTGAATGTGCACTCGAATCGCCGTCTCTATCAAACCGGTCGAATCCCATCAAATTCTTGGAGTTCTCCGCAGCATTCGTTCGTCTCTCGCGGCAATTGCCGCAACATTCCCCAAGCACCTCATCCTGTATCCATCGCCCAACAAATCCAAGCCGACAAATGGAAAAAATCGTGTATAAATTACGTGCATAGGGAAGTGCACACGGCAGCTGTGAAGTCGCTGCCAAGGGGCGCCGTCACGTTGCGGCCACTCGGGCACGTGATGATCAGCGTTCCATTGTTGAACTTTTGGCCGTAGCACTGGCCGCCACCAGTGGTGTCGCAGTTCCACCATGGGGCAGGCACGCAATCCAAGTACTTACACCACGAGCACGACTTGGATGCGTCCGACTAACAAGAGTCATGTCAGGACGGCGCTAGTACCAGACGAGAAAGACTTACGCGAGTGGCCAAAAGGACGACAAACATCAAGGCAAAGAGGAAGGTGAAAACGCCTCCAAACTTGCCCAAAAGGCGCTGGCGGGGCGATCGGGTGTTCAACATACGGTCTTCGCGCGACGTGGGCAGACTCAGGATGGCAAATCCCATCCCAAGACCCGTCTAAGTGGCATGTCAACGACGCGGCCTTTGTGTCGAGCACGTACGATGAACCCAGACAAGTGGGCGAAATTGTTAACGTAAGGAAGAAGTCCAATGGCCAAGTTTACAACTGCGACCACGATCAAGTTCGTCTAGCAATTTCTCAAGCCATGACGACGATGCATCGAATCACGCACCATGTGACAAAGTCGGTTGGCATACAAAGCCCAATTCAAGATAAACTCAGCAAACGTTGCTCCAAAAAGGCCGAAAATTGCTCCCGATGCTCCCACGCCGACCTTCAGAAGCAGTGAGTCAAGGTTTTGCAGGCATTGGGAGGGTGTATTCATACCACGTCAGGCACGAATACCGCCGAGCAAATGGCCCCCACGACGCCAGAGCTAAAGTAGATGAAGACGATGCGGCGCCGATCGAACGAGTTTTCAAGCTCCACGCCAAGTTGGTAGAGACCCAGCATGTTGAAAAACAAGTGCAGTCTAAGGATATGGTCAGGACGAATATCGGGAAGGTGGGGATCCGTACAAGCCTGCGTGAAGAAACATCGCCGTGAGCAACCGCCACCATTCTCCGTCAAAGATCAAGTCGGTGCGCTGGGCTCCCATTTGGAGCAACACCGTCGCCGTTGGTCCGAGCAATGGGTTCAACTTCATGTCCTCGAATGCCCATCCATTCTCGCCACTGAATTCGAACGTTAGTCAGGACAGTGAATCACCATGCAGACAACTTACATTTCCACGACAAAAACGATGACGTTCACAAAGATCATGAACAAGATGAACTTGAACTGAGGCAAGATCTTTTGTCGCTGCTTGTTGACTTCTCCATCTCCCAAGTCTAGATTGTTTCGAGCGCCTTCTTCAATGACAATCGGTCCATCATGGGACTGCGCGCGATGGCCATAGGGTGTCTCGTTGGGCTGGTATCTGCCGTCTCGGTTCTCAGTCGCCATCCTCTCCCGTACGTTCGGATGCAGAATGATGCATCTTGGTCGAGCAGAGGCGCCGAATAATCATCCGGATAAGACGAATAGAATGAAAAAAGCACAAAACAATTCGTCAATTTTTTTCCAAATTTCGCACTGTCCCACACCTATAAATAGAACGAGTGTCTATTCGTTTAGGAACTTGATTGGTTATAAAGATGAATAGTCGATAGCATGATAAGGTCCAAACACATTTGTATAGGGTGGGAATTCCCCGCATGGAAGATATTTATTCGGCTGGGCCTGCCCGTGGATCATGATCGAGCGATGGATGATGATTGAGAGGTGGATCACTGAGGTGTGCGCTGTGACCTATGGAGCGATGGCGTGGACATGTCGCGCGTTGTACTCAACCAATTGAATGGCACGAACTGTTGACACGATTGAAGTTCGCTGTCGACAGTAACGTCGGAATGATTTGAGATGTTTATCGAAATGTTAACCGGATGTATCCGTATCAGACGTTTTGGTTTATCCAGACAAGATGTCTTGCCTTTGCGATATCCGGATGATGTCTCTGAACCCTTATTGCGCGACGGTAGTAATGGCGATGGGGCTGGCACATCGCATGATTGACCAGCGACCACGAGCATTGGAGGAAGCGAAGAACGGATGGGTCACCATCCTTCTCGTCGGCGTAGGTGCCGCTCTCGTCGTCGGTATCATTATCGTCTTCTTCTTCAAGCGATGTCAGCGACGCAAGCCGCCACAGTTTGAGGACTTCGTCGATCCGTACGGTCAGATGGACGCAATCCAGCGCCGCCCGTCTGTCAAATCTACCGCGCAAGTCATGATTGGAGGGACGCAGAACTCGCGCTTCCAGCACTTGACGTTTGAGAACGACCAAGACAACTCGGTCCATCCGTCCTCTTCTGCGTCGTCTTCGGCAATTCCACGTCCAACACCGTCGACATACGAAGACAACCAACGGCGGTACAGACAGTCATCTCGCGTCGCTCTTTTCGAGGAACAGGGTGCGCTTGCGACGACTCCTGCGATCACGCCTGTCTCGACTAAGTCTCAGTCCCGATTTGCGATCTCGTCGGCGACATCGCCTCCCCGACCAACACCGCCGAACTCGTCGGTGAATCGAATCGAGTTGCCCGTTGCAGAGCAACGTATCGAAGGCTTTCGACCACCAAAGCAACCCAAGCCATCCACCAAAGCGCCGTCGTCGAAAGAGTCATCTGGCTCGTCCTCTCGTAGCAAACCGACCTCTGCCGAAGCCCGAGCGGCGAGAAAAGCGCAACTGATTTCTCAAATCGGCGGCTCAGGGATGGCCAACAACATGAAAATGATTCAATCTACGTGGCAGGCGAAGGACTCGACTGACGATGTCAAATGCACCACGAAGCCCGACGTGATCAAGTTTCCCACTCCTCCTCGCCCGACCGCTTCCGCCGCACGTTTCCACGTCCAGACCACATCTTTGTTTGGCGCCCACATGCACAGCCAGGAGGATGACCAACAGTATGTGACCGATGCAAACCAGCCAGATGACACACTGCCGTTGGGAGCCGAGGCAGGGTCGTATGCTCGCAATATGCACAAGAAACAGCTCATTCAGCTCCTACCGAATCCACTGTCCCAAACACAAGGTATGGGCGAAGACACGCGGTACCTGACAGTCGCCAACAACCCAGACGACACATTGCCACTCGGGGCGGAGGCTGGGACGTATCGGCAAAAGGCCGCGTTGCTGCAAACGTTGCAAGCGCCCCCGTCCACCATCAGCCACCACAGCAATGGCTCGAGGAGCCACTGCGAACACGCTTCAGTGGACCCGAGGGATGAGTACCGGCCATTTGAAGATTACACAGCGTACGAAACCTCCCACGCGTACGACTCGATGCCCCTAGGTGCTGAAGCTGGGCAGTACCACCAATTCCTTGAGAATCAAAAAAAGCAGCACCAACATAAGGCCCAACAGATTCAGCAATTGGGCAGGTGAGCACCGAGTTGCTCCAGACCAACCCCAGCAACGAAAGCAACGATTCAATCCAGACGTCGTCGTGGTTTTGCGCACATTTCCCATTTTTGGCAAACCCCGAAACCCTAGTACTCTATCATGTGGGATAAATGAATGCTCATTTAATTTTGACAATCATCGAGGCCATCGCTGTCAAGCTCTGCCCAACAAGCAGGAGTGCGTCGAGACGATGAAGGATGCCGGTGTTCAAAGGGGAGAGTCCACGCACGTCTGCATGCGTGATCCCGCGCAGTCCCTCGACGTTGTTTTCGATGTTACGGCGTTAACATTCTCTCCTTCGAAAGATCATGAATATCCGGATAATTAGCCGGATTCGGGTGGGATACAAAAGTCAAGTAGAAATAAAATTCGAACAACCGCCCTTCGAAAATCTTGAGCCGTTTCATTGGTTTACTTTTGAATTGGATGTCAGCCGCTTACGCAGGACGCAAGACCGGGAAGGCGGGTGCGGCGACGGGGGCCGCGGCCAAGAACAAGAAGTTCGAGCTGACGGAGGAGCAGAAGCAAGAGATTCGAGAAGCTTTCGACCTTTTCGACACGGATGGCAGTGGCACGATCGACGCCAAGGAACTTAAAGTTGCCATGCGTGCTCTCGGGTTTGAGCCCAAGAAAGAAGAAATCAAAAAGATGATATCCGACATTGACAAGGACGGCAGCGGAACGATCGACTTTACCGAGTTCTTGGAGATGATGACGTCCAAGATGAGCGAGAAGGATTCTCGGGAAGAGATCCTGAAGGCGTTCCGGCTGTTCGACGACGATGAGACTGGCAAGATCAGCTTCCGGAATCTCAAACGTGTCGCAAAGGAACTCGGTGAAAACATGACGGACGAAGAGTTGCAAGAAATGATCGATGAGGCTGACCGCGACGGCGACGGTGAAATCAACGAGGAGGAATTTTTACGCATCATGAAGAAGACCAGCCTGTACTAAAGCAACAAATATCACACAACCCAAAACAGCTTCTTCGTTCATGTACGCGCTCTGTGAATCGAGAATGAGTGCATCGCCATCGGAGTCTCTCCATATCGGCGCATATTTTCCAAAGTACGTTGTCGCTTCTCGCTCCGTTGCACGCTCGCTAATTTGTCGCCATTGCGCCCGGGAGGTCCAGATTTCTGCACAGTCCATTGCAGATCGTGATACCCTGGCGATCATATTGATGGAGTTTAGGAGGACGAACGCAACTACCAAACTGAGTGAAACCTCATTTTTCGACGACAGTTGCTTGGAAACTGAGATTTTGCAGGATTAACTTTGTGCTCGCCACATGGAGATACGACCGGACGAGTTGCCACCGAGGATGACTGGCAGGACTGGGTGGAAAACGTTGAGTGAGTGCACCGACGTGAAGAGCGAGTCGTCGGACAGCATTTGGCGGGGCTTTGGACTGGTCGTTCCGAAGATGTCAATGCAACGCGGACGCTTGTTTCCCCCAAGAACGAACTCGCAGTCCGTCAGCTTCTTGGGGTCCTGTGGATGAGTCTCGGATAAGATGGAAAACCAAGGCAGACATGAAATGAAAGACATACCCAAGCAGCGTGAAACTTGGTTAGCCATTGGCCCGAATGGTTATCATGCTTGATCTTTTGAGGACTAGGGAGCGTTGCGACGATAGAGGATGTGTTGTGGAGGTACACAAAGTTGTCGAGGCAGACCGACACCACCGTCTTGCCGTCGGGGGCAAACGAAGCGCAGTTGACGCTTTTCCCGTGCGTCAATTCTGCCAACGAGGCCTTGAGTTTGCGAATGTCCCACAGCTTGACGCTGCGGTCCAGCGACGCTGTCACAAACACACTACGGAACGATGTCATCCCTTGATCATTCGCACTAAATCTATCGTACTTGGGTTCGGTGGGGTGGCAGTGCACTGTGTTGATCTTTTTCGCGTGGAGAGTGTATCTTTGCTGCTGTTTCTTCGAGTCTTGGCGGAGGTCGGTTTGAACGACAGAACCGTCGTCACAGCTGAGCAACATACAACTCAACCCGTAGTTCACCTACAGCCACAGTTGACTGGATTGCACAACGTGGCTCACGTACGTGAAAGCTCGTGATGGCAGCATCCAGCTCCACTACGACACAAGCAGCCGAAGGGTCCGCTGCTCCCAAGTCCAGACGTTTGACTATCCCACCCATACAAGACGACAGCAGCGACGTGTCTTGAAAGTGCAACATTGAAATTGCTCGTTTATGCAGGCGAAACGCGGTTAGTCCGCTCTCGACATCGCTTGATCGGTCGACTGGCGGCGTCCACAGAGCAAAGTTGCCTTCGACGTCCGCGATGCCAGCGAGCATCGTCGACGAGGCTATCGTGGGAATACTTAGGTTGGTCTACGAGGCAGGAGTACCTGAGATGGCGTGGTGAAATGCTAGCGAATAGATGCGCGAAGGCAGTGCCTTGACGACATCTCGAGCATCGATTGAATACTTGGTTGCTGCTGCAGTGGACGACTCGATGACTGAAGACTCGTTGGAAAGGCCTCGGTAGAAAGCTCCCAGGTGCTGCTTTGCGTCTGAAGCGAGGGTTTCCCACGAGGCTGCCTCTTCGTCGTCGTCTGAATTGTCGTCGTCGTTATTGTTTGCAGCCACCACGATGGGAAGGTTGAACGCAGGGCTGAATTCAGCATCTTTGCCTTGAACCCGGCGAGATTGTCGACGTGGCAGTGCGTCCAGCCCCTCTTTCCGTCGCTTACGACTTTCTTCACGCTGCTCTGCAAGGGAGCTGCGACGGACTTTCATCTCACTCGACACGTCCGCCAGACCGATCTGGACCATCAATTCTTTGTTTCGTGCAATGTTAGCGAGGCGTTGTCGCTCGTACGCAGAGATCTCATCCTTGTCGTTGCTGGAAATATGTGTGAACTCCATAGCCATCCCACTAGGGTCCTCATCGGTTTCTTCGCTGGTATCATCTTCAATCATATTCACTTCTTTCGTAGGGATCTTAGCCACATCACGTGGCGCAACCTTCGTCGCACCCTTCGCCGCATTCACCTTTGTAGGGTGCTTGTTTACAATCTTCCTGGAAGCTTCCTCCACCCGATCTCGCTCAACCTTCGTCCTTTGAACCGCTTCCGCTGCCTTGATGCGCGCACTCGTTCGCGCCATTTTGCTCTCTCGGTCGGTTGTGGGAAATTCGTGCGATTTCCGGAAAAACGAAGGGTATCCGTATATGTCTGTCGGGCATGGTGACTTCAAGAATGCCGCCATCGTCACTGGATACACGGCAGCCGCGTCGTCCGCCGCTCCAGACTCTTCTTCAAATACTCCGCTGACACGCTCGACTTGATGAGACCGTAGTCCTACACGTACGCAATGAGATTGTGGAGTACAAATTGACGAAGTTACGTCGAGGATGCGCATGAGTTGGTCCGCAGCCTCGTATCGCTCCATCGCAACACTCGCCACCGTATCCATGTGCGCAGTGTTATACGTTTGGTGAATTCGTTTCTCGCGTTCAATTTCGCGGCGCTGCTGCTCTGCCACAACCGCGCTAACGTGTTGATCACGCGCTTCAGCAGCCTCGATGTTGTGGGCTTGTAAAGACAGCCTACAGACACGTGTGCGTCACTTGACGCAGTGCATCTACAAGTACCAGTTGGCTGCGTCCGCGCCGGGGCTTCGACTTTTGGCAGGATGTCGGTCGCAATAGTACAATTGTGCGTCAGACACAGCACAGTGCAGGCGACGACTGGCACGGGCCTGCATGATGGGGTCAGTAGTGAACTTGCTTGAGTCTTGTACCTTTTCCTTGATAGAATTTCGCTTTGTTGTCCGCACTCGCTCCTCGATGAAGTACGCGGGGGTTTCGGCGGTCACTGAACTGGGTGTTCCAGCGGCGACGTGGGTGGGAGGGAGAAACACTCGAGTTGGGATGGATTTCGACTTGTGCAGAGTCTCAAGGGCCATCTACCGTTGTCTTGAGCCCCTCGAGCATGCATATAGCAACAGATCCTCACCTCGAGCACAGCGTGGAGAGTGCTTGCAGCTTCAGCTGTAAACGCCTCTGAAGGAATATCACGCTGAGCTACTGGTGGGAATCTCTTGCTTCGCGCAGCATTCGTCTTGAACTGTTCTCGATAGAATTGCATTGTTTCCTCCACGGAGACCGCGGATGCTCGGTGGATGGGGTCGACGGCGCCCCAGAACATGCTGCTCATGGCTATATTTGCACTCGGATGCATTTTGGCATCTTCCGGATAAATTGTCCATGATTGTTGCACAGTCGAGAACGATCATCTCCACGATGGATAGAGTCTGCTACTTCGACCTCCATGTGCTGCTGCTTTCAACCTTGCTCCGTCGGTGCGGATCAAGGACACGCATCGACCAGGGCCAAGCCTTTGTCGTTGGAAGTTGGCGACTTCGCAAACGGAGTTACAGTGTTTTACTCCCTACCGCTTTTAGTTTCTATCGTTCGAGCATGATCGCATTCAATCGTCATTGGGTCGAGCAGCACGGCCCTGCTGGAGTCCGTCGCGCTGATGTCAAGGTGGCAATCGATCAACTTGTCACCATTCCTCCTTTCGACTGACAAGTACGAACACGGTGTCTTCCCACACAAATACCATCGACTCGTTGTACAATCGGTTGGATGCATAACTTTCCGAAGCGAACACTACACGAACATGGCTACAAAAAGCGCAGTCGCAGAAGCAAATGTCATTTGGAACGCCCCGTTTGCCTGGAATGTCGAGGACGGCATCAGAGGGGGCGGTGAGAAAGCGAGAAGAACCTGTCCATCGCTTTTTATCGAGTTGCTTGTTGTGGATGGAGGTTTGATGGATGGAATGCCAGCAAGATTTTGCGTCGGTCGTGGGGACAAGGGAGTCATAGGAGGGGACGTCAGAACATCCGTGCTCCGCGAAGGAATTGCACACTTCAGCGAAGTCAATTGATCGGGAGAGAACGAGTCGGGCAGGCCGGGATGCGTTGGCCTCATCGAAGTGGTCAATGGTTGGCCAGCATTCCAAGCGCAGCAAGGGTCTCCAAGTTCTTCGCCGTTGGTGGCACCGTCGCCGTCCGAGTCGGTTTGACACACTTGCGGCGTCCACGAAGCACCGGCCGTTTGAAATGCCAGTCCAAACGCATTTCGCGGACCGCCTCCTCTCGAGTTGATGTGCCCGACAGCAGCCACACCGACGACGTTGTCTCCGTTTGGAATCATAGCCACAAATTTTTGGAAGGCGTTGGATGGACTCGCCACTAGAACGATTATCGCAATGGATTGAAACATGGCGAATGCGACGTAGGCACTCGTTCGACGCATGATGGACACGATGTAAAAGGGCCAAATACAGTCAACCAAACACATGATGGGGCAGAGAATGGCCACCTTCTTTTGCTATGTGATGTCCCTTTACACCACATGACTTCAGTCAACGAGATGCTCTCCTTTCCAAACCTTGAATAAACGGATCGTGCGCATCACGAACAGAATCGATAGCGGGCATCTTTCGTGGCACTGTTTTGCTAGAGCCCATCGAAGTGTTTGCGCTCGTTTGACTTTCCATGGCCTCTCCATCAAAGGAATGATCGAGGTGGCAACATACCGAAGCGTCCGCACTCTTGAATCGCTGCAAGTGTTCACTCGTTGGCAGGGCCACAGCATCGCCAGTCCAGATGAGCAACGGGTCAACGCACCACGTCGTGTCGGCCGTTCTACTCGCCCTGGATCGTGATCCATGCAACATTCAAAAGCTCGACAGCAATGCCATGGCTTCGAGGCAGTGTCATCAACCGTACGAGCCATCGAATCCGTAACATTTCAAGAGTCCCAGTCGACAATCCCATGCGCAAGACGAGCATGTATACATCATGGTTGTTTGGATTACACCATGGCTTGCTTGGCTTTGCGCTGGGCCATGTGCATGAGGACTTGACTTTGCGTCGGCAGCTGATGGCGCATAAAGCTCTCGACGTATGTCTGCCGCGGGAAATTCACTTGCAGTCGATATTCCCCGTAAAAGTGCAAGAGTACGCCTAGCACGACGATCGCGGACGACACGCCGTAAATCAGCGACCCTTGTTCGAGGTTGGATGGCCAAAACGCCATGAGGCCCAAGGTCGCAGGTGGCGCTGGCGCTTCGGCCAGCTGGTCACACACAGGATTCGACACGTGGCGAACGCTCCTGGGCTGTGATGCATACAAGAACAAGTTGCACGGACCGGACTTGGACGTGATCCCAGATCGCCGCATCTTCATGTATCCCGCTTCGCCCCACATGCTCCCCCATGAGTTTCGAATGATCCAGTACAGCTCCCCCGTCGCTGCGTCGCGGCCATATCCAACGAGAATCACCGCATCTACACAAACACAATTCAATCCACACTAGGGTCGGAGGGAGAGGGTGGTCGACGCACGATCCACGAAGACGCCGTCCGATTTGCAGTCCGCCGCGTCGTAAATGCCGCCTCCATAATGGCGAAACCCGGAGCCACTGGCGTCGATGCTCACACTGACGGGGCCTTCTTGAAGAGCTTCCACAATGGCGCTTTCGTCGTTCTGGATGCTGACATACGACGACACACCCACGTCCCACACCGCCGACACGTTTTGCGACAGGTCGTCGTTGCACTGAGCAGCATCGTACGCGTCAGCCGAGAGCTTCATGCGGTACGGGAGCAACGGTTCGCAGGTGAGACCATGTGGGTTGAGCTTTTCGAGGTACTGGTACGCGAGGAAAGTCATGCCGCCACCGCAGCCGCGCGCGGAGCTCACCATTCGGTTAGGGTATGCACTTTGAATATGCAGGAGCGTTCGTGAACAGCTCAGGATTTGTTCCACGCTCAAGGGGATCTAGTTTTGGCGACATTGTGAGTGCAGATAGAAGCGCAGGAAAAGGTACATGAGCGCAGATAGGACGGATGTAGACGTACTGCTTGAGTGTTGGACTGAATGGCCGCCATGGACTCGACTACGGCGGCCCCAGTGAACGCCCAGCAACTGCCGCATGTGCCTTGATTCTTCACAGGGGTCACATACTTGCCGCCGTCCTTTGTGGACCAGTCGATCGTATCAGCAAACTTGTCGGATGCAAGCATGCGACGGCGGAATGAATCTGGTTGTACGCGATGGTGCGACGGTATGTGGACTTCATCGGGGGTGGTGTGGAGGAGGTCCAGGTATTCGGCGTCCGTCAGGTCACTCATGGCGTTCCACTTCATGGAGTAGGAACGATGCGGGTTCGCATTGTGTTCTATAACGCTCCACTCATGCAACGAGTTGTACACTTCGTCATCACGTACCTGAGATAATGGAAGCGGACTTGGCCAGCGCGGCTTGACGAACAGCCCGGCCACTTCGAGAGAGGGGTTCCGCGTCGTCGCTTTTGTACATCTTGCGGTGTTCATGGAGGGCATTTTCGAAATCCTCTACGGATGGGACCTGCACGGAAGCAGAGGTGGCAACGGCGGCAGCGACGGCAAGGATGGTCACCCGCATGCGGTCGCAACGACAAAGGTGATGTGCAATCCCGCGACAGATTGAATTACTCCAGACTAGTAAATACTGTGACAATTTTTACTAACGCTAGGGTAATTAGCTTGATTTCACTATTGACAACACTACTTCTTGGTTGAAGTGAGGATGAACACTATTTGGCGGTTGATTTTGGGATGGGCACGACAATTTCAAGCATTCGAAAAAAAAGATTACATAGAATAGTTAAGGAAAATTTTCAATTCATGCACAAGGAAACCCCGAAACCCCCAGTTCGTGACAAGCTGCTGACGCTGTTCACAACCTAGAGAGCGCAGGCAGCAGGGCTGAGTTTGTAGATGTACCTGACCTTAATATGACACCGTTGCGTCCTTGGCATTTAGACTAGTGTCGTTTTTCGTAGGTCTTGCTGTCGGCAGCGGTAAGGCAACGCCGACGACCAAATTTCGAGAAAGGTACCCAAGCGAGCGTTGCTGTGTGGATAGGCCACACCGCGCTCCCACGGGAACCTCCCAGGGATCCGCAACACTCACGCGCGCAAGTGGCTGTTTCTGCTGGAACACCGTGGACACCTAGTCGACACGGTTTATCGTTTTGACAACGCCAGCATAAGGTTGGCGCACGCATCGTGTTTGAATGGAAGGACTATCCCGACTTTCAGGCACATAATATGGTGCAAGGTCGAGATTTTGAATCGTCTACGGTGTCTACACATTCGATTTCACTGCGGGTTGCAATTCCTCCAGGGCTCCAAGTCGACGTGAGCATTACATCAAGATGTCATTGTCAACCAATTCCACGAAACGTATATGGTTGGCTTTTTGGATGATCCTCACTTCGTTGTCTATCGGTTGCCAGGCTCATGGCCAATATCTCTGGCCTGCTTTGTCTCGATAACTCGTGCGCCGGTCTCCTCGTCTTCTTCCATGCGAGACGAACACTTACTCCTTTCTCTGTTGCGTGATTTCGTACCTCAGCGCCATCGTCAGTCCTTGCCGTGTCAGTTGCAAAGGTT